CTAAAATCAGATGAAGTGGAGATCAAAGCAATATCGTGGGCTCTTAGTTTTCGAGATATCTTCATTGCTCTTGGTCGCCTACCAGGAGAGCATATGGGCTTCGAGTGTGGTGGTATCGTGACGAGACTTGGTCCTCTCGACAGATCGGAATCGAAGCTACAACTTGGAGACAGGGTTTTTTTCTGTTCTCCAGGATGTATGCGTACCCACCCTCGCACCGACGCGGAGAACGTGTTCAAGATCCCGGATGCCGTCTCTTTCGAGGAGTCCATTTCCGCGCTGAATCCTGGTATTACAGCTTACCACGCTTTGGTCAACGTTGCCCGGCTTCAGAAGGGCGAGAGCATCCTCATCCACTCCGCAGCTGGAAGCACAGGGCAGATGGCTGCCTGGATCGCAAACATGATCGGCGCCAACATATTCGTTACCGTTGGCTTCAAAGAGAAAATGCAACTGCTCATGGAAAAGTTCAATATCCCACAAGAGCATATCTTCTACAGCAGAAAGCCCTCTTCCTTTTCCAAAGGCATTGCGCGATTTACAGAAGGGCGCGGAGTGGATGCCGTTTTGAACTCACTATCCGGGGCCGGTCTCAACGCATCGTGGGAATGCATAGCGCCCTATGGAAGATTCGTTGAACTTGGAAAAGCCGATATCATGGCCAATTCGTCGCTCCCCATGTCGGGGTTTGCCAAGAATGCTTCTTTCTCGGCTGTGGATATGCATCATATTTGCGAATCCAACCCGTCGCTGATGCGCACCTTGATTACGAAAGTGAGGGATCTCCTTGCTCTGGGGATTGTCCAGAATCCTACACCATTGCATTCTTATCAAGCTTCACATATCGAAGACGCTTTCCGCTTCATGCAGAGCGGGACCAACACCGGGCGGGTGATTATCAGGGCAGATGAGTCGGACATTGTCCCGGTATGATACTCATATAATCATTCTCTTCACTACTACTCCCCGGTTGATAGTGCGGGTGAACTGACCATTCGAGCAGAAATTTCGCCGTGAGCGAACACCTTGGACTTTTGATGCCAATGCCACGTACATCATTGCTGGTGGATTGGGTGGTCTAGGGAGATCCATAATCCGGTGGATGGTAGACAGAGGTGCCAAACACTTGGTTCTACTTTCACGTTCAGGAGTCAATTCTGAACCAGCTCGTCATGTCGTGGAAGAATTGGTAAATAGAGGCGCTTCTATAGCAGCGCCAGTCTGCGATGTATCATCGGTTGACTCGTTGAAAGCTATTCTGACTGAATATTCACTGACGATGCCGCGTATCAAAGGATGCATAAATGCGGCCATGGTTCTTCAGGTACGTCTATCATACTGTTTACGGGCACGTCTCGGAGTTTATAATGGCTAAAGCAGCTCGTAGGATGCGATGTTCGAAGATATGAGCTACGCACAGTGGCAGCTCGCGATGAAGTCCAAAATCGATACGTCTTGGAATTTGCACGAGCTCCTGCCGCGTTCCTTGGACTTTTTCATTCTGCTCTCGTCGCTATCCGGCTTCTATGGGAGCGCATCCCAGAGCAATTATGCAGCTGGCTGTACCTTTCAAGACTCGTTAGCAAGATACCGGGCTACTCGTGGAGAGAAAGCACTCAGCATAGACGTCGGATGGATGCGTACAGTTGGGATAGTGGCCGAGAAGGAGGAGTATCGCCGCGTCCGACATCACGCCAGGGACATGGCGCCTATCGAAGAAGAAGAGCTCTTGTCGCTTCTCGAGATTTATTGTGATCCCACATTACCGCCCCTCCCCCCTGACAAGAGCCAGCTTCTGATCGGCGCAATCACACCTCAGGACTTCATTGCGCAAGGGGAGAACCCGATTCCCGCTGTTCGTACTCGTATGTTTGCAGGATTTATGTCGGCTACGAACGCGTCCACATCCGAGTCCTCGCACACGTTGAACAATGATGCTGCTCTGTTCGATCAAGCAAAGGATCCAGACCAGCGAACAGAAGTTGTTGTCCGGGCCCTTCGACACAAGCTGGCAAAATCATTAACCGTCAGCATCAACGATGTCGATTCGGAGAAGACGCTGTCTGACTATGGAGTTGACTCCCTCATGGCTGTGGAACTGAGAAATTGGATCGGGAAGGACTTCCATGCAAATTTGACCGTACTGGATATCATGGGAAGGGTAAGTATTTCGGATATAGGTGGATTGGTAACGAAGAGGGCGACCGTACTAAATTGATTTCACGTCTATATGCCTAGAGGGTTCACATTTAGGGGTTCTGAAATTTTGTTTAAATATGCCTCCCTAGTGGTAGAGGATAATCTCTTTTGATTAGTAAACCATGTAATATGTCAAGTTTCTAGTGTTTTTAGGACAGCTGGCGACTTGTTTATTACCCTACCTTAGGTAGGTACGTTTGTTTAAAGGGTTAGAAGCCAGAAGATTAGAGCCCCGATATTGAGAAATATGAGGCATAAATTAGGGGTCGAGCTTAGATTAGGCTAGGTTAGATAGCGAGTCTCCAGCTATCCCGGCTGTGATATGCCGTCCCCTCGGCCGACCTCGCAGCCTGTCGCAAAGCGCGCTTCCCCGCACAGAGCGAAAACCGTCTTCCACGCTACCTTAAAACCGGGTGAGATCAGCATCCTTCTCCAACAACCAGAAGTTACTGGGAGGACAGAAGAAACCTGGGCTACTAACTAGACTACGGACGTGACCTGTCGAATTGAGAAGGCCCGTATCGCATTCGCCATTGGACATTGGAGCAGGAACAGTAAGACTATGCCTTCAGACCGATCGCAGGATCCGAGTTCACATGCCTTTCCTACCAAGCAACTCACAATCCTAGGTGCGCACTCCTTGAACAACAAAAAAAAGCCTGGCAAGCCTTCCATGACCCTGACCGCAATGTAATCCAACAGCAATATGTCGCTTCTCGGAGCCCATCGCCTTCAACTCCATCCTCGCCTACACCTACGTGATGGTGCAGGATCTGAACGGAGGCGATGATACCGATGCGTCCTTCTACGCCGGCCTCCTGGTCTCGGCGTACGCCGTCGCCGAGGCCCTCACGGCCATTGGCTGGGGTGCCCTGTCCGACCGATACGGAAGGAAGCCCGTCGTGCTCTTCGGCCTCGGGGGCGTGGCCCTTTCGAGCCTGATCTTCGGATTGGCTACCGAGTACTGGGTTGCATTGCTAGCACGATTCATCGGCGGGGCCTTGAACGGCAATGTTGCGGTTCGTCAAGCTTTTCCTTTATTTTTATTTTTTTTATTTTTTTATTTTTTTACTTGTGCCTCAAGAAAATACTCCCAATAATACGATAGCTGCATCCTAACATGATGCTTTCAACAATTGCTTACCCTTCCCCTAGGTCATGCAGACGATGGTAGCGGAGATGGTAAAAAATCCGGAGCACGAGCCGAAAGCCTACGCCACGCAACCGTTCGTGTGGACTCTAGGCGGCATCATAGGCTCCGCCATGGGTGGCTTCCTAGCCCAGCCCGCGAGGTTCTACCCTTCGCTGTTCCCCGCCGACGGGCTCTTTGGGAGGTATCCCTACCTGCTACCCAACCTGGTGTCCGTCGTCGTCATCGTGTTGGCGATCGTGCAGGGCGCGCTCTTCCTCGAGGAGACCAAACCCCAGCACGGGAAGGCCGGCCCCGAGACCGTCTTCGAGGAGGAAGACGAAACGATCGATGAGCGCACCCCGCTTCATCGCCGCAAGGACCGCGGGTCGTCCGTGCGCAGCCAGTCGCGGGCTACGGTCGACAGGCCTGTCTTCGCCGAGGGGAGCCTTCCGGTGCCGATCGAGCAGAACTTCGATCTCAGGCGATCGTCATTCGGGACGGTGCGTTCGATCAGGGTACCGCCCTCGGTCCCGGAGAGTAGTGAGAATTTCAAAGGCCGGGTCTTCAACTTCACCATCGTCATGGTCACGATTGCATTGGTCTTGGTTTCGTACCACCAGATGGCGTTTTGCACCCTTCTGCCGACGTACCTTTTAGATAAGCCGGCTGCAGCACCAGGCCAAATCGATTTGATCGGTGGTCTGGGGTATACCGTTCACGACGTGGGTGTCTACTTGGCCATCAATGGTATTCTTGGACTGCTCATCCAGGCCATCGTATTCCCTATCTTCGTGGACAATATCGGCGTTTGGAAGTCGTTTGTCCTCAACATTGTCCTCTACCCTTTAGCGTACGTCGTCATGCCCTTCCTCTCGGCCTTGCCTCCCGCCCTTGTATCCCCGGGGATCTACCTCTCCCTCATCCTGCAGAGCTTGTTCGGAATCATCGTGATCCCCTGCGCTCTCATCCTTATTAAGGATGCCACGCCGTCGCCTTTGGTGCTGGGCAAAGTCAACGGTTTAGCCATGTCTGCTTGCTGCCTTGCCCGAACGCTATCACCGCCGCTAGTCGGCATCATCTACAGCGCTGGCGGCTCCTCTGCCGCTTGGCTCAGCTGCGCTGGTGTTGCGGTTATCGGAACTGTGCAGCTTTTCTGGGTGCCGAGAAAGCACGTCCAGAGTGTCGTGGTGGCTAATGGTATGATGGTGAGGAAAACCGTATCCAACTCACGGAATGAGGAAGCTGGAAGACGTCCTGCTGTCACAGAGTAATTCGTTCTGAGGGCCATCCACTCAGGAGTTTACATATATCTACGTCTACGAATAGGTCCGGGCTCATTGTCGGCCATCTCGAAACCAAGGTTTAGGATTGCTGGATTCGAAACATTACAGATTGTTTAATAGATGCTTAATACATTGCGGCGTCGGGTGTCAGTATAGAGGGTTGGGTAAATGCCATAAACGAAGCAACGATGTTACGACCACACGCATCGATAGAACGAATATTTCTCACTAGATAGGTAGACACTAATCAAGCGAACTCGTATGGAATTACTTTGACAAAACTTCCAAGGATATCCTACCCAAAACCTGACTCCCGATTCCAAGCAGAAGGAGAGGGGACGAAAAGAAAAAAAAGATGGCACAAGAGGAATCCAACCTCGATAGGATGGACTTGCGGGGAATCGAACCCCGGACCACTCCCAAGCTGTACGGGTGCTGCTCTGAACAGCCACCGCGTACCGTGCTAAGGGAGTATTATACCACTAAACCACAAGCCCCATACGATCGGTTGGTGGATTGTTGCTAATTCAACGGCGTATTACCACTTATAACGTCGACACCCTGGGTTTGCCGGCCCTAATTTAGCGAGAGCAGGCAAACCCACCCGGGCCCGGGCCCGCTCCTGCCTTCCTTAGGCACCGTTAGTCAGAGGAAACATGCAGACTGGTTTGCGTGTCGTAGCTGGGTTGGGGACGAGTTATGTTATGAGTTGTGCTTGTGCTAAGTGTTCACATGCCACGGCGAGCATCGTGAGAGCTCGGCGAACCTCCCTCACAGGAGTGTGCGTATACAAGAAGCCACACAATAGAAACATACACGTCGTTAGATATCCGTGCCATTCGTACAAGAACTAAGACGTACATGCAACAAATACCTGCTCCTTGTCCACCCTTCTCAACATGTCGTAACGCGTAAAGACCATGCCAAAATGCCTACAGCCCACCCCTGACGCCGCCCATCAGGAGAGCATCGACCCTCGACCCCTTCCTCAGGGGCTCCTTGCCGCTAGGCAGGCACAAGAGGCAGTTCGCGCCCCTGAGGCTGCCAACCATGGAACTGCGCTGCTTGCCCGTGCTGGCAGCCACCAGGCCGCCGTGCTTGTCCACCGAGACGACGCCGCGGTGGTACTCGGGCCGCGCCTTGTCGAGCGCGAAGTCCTGCGCGAGCGTGACGGGTACCCTCGTCAGGCCCGCCGGGGCGATGCCGGACATCCGGTGCAGGGCGGGCAGGACGAAGAGGTGGAAGGTGACGATGGCCGAGGCGGGGTTGCCCGGCAGCGAGAAGACGACCTTGGTGACGCGCTCGCCCGCGTTGTTCTTGACGGGCACGGTGGCGAACGTCGTCGGCTTGCCCGGCTTCATCGCCACGCGGCCGAAGTGGATCGTGCCGCCGAGAGACCGTTCGATGGTCGGCTTCAGGAGGTCCAGCTCGCCCATCGAGACGCTGCCGGTCGTGATGACGAAATCGACGCGCCGCATGGCGTCCCGGAGCGTCTCCTCCAGGGTTCCCGGGGTGTCGGCTGCGATACCCAGGTCCACGACTTCGTACCCACACTCCGTTGCTGCGGACATCAGCGTGATGCGGTTGGTATCGCGGACTTCGCCTAGCCGTAGGTCGCCGGGCCGGTCGTGCTGGACGATCTCGTCTCCGGTAGATAGCACGCCTACGACGGGCTTCCGATACGTCTTGACTTCCGCCACGCCGACGGCGGCAAGCAGGCCAATCTCCCCACCGACTGCCGAGATCTGCTCTCCCTTGCTAAGGATCGTCGACTCCGCCTTGATATCGCTGCCGACCTCGCGGATATTCTCGCCTTCCCGGACATTGTCCGCGAGGATCTCCACCTCCTTCTCTTCCTTGCCGTCGTCCGTCATGATCTTCAATATCGTGTCTTCGACCATAATAACCGAGGTAGCTCCCGGTGGTAACGGCGCTCCGGTCGTGATCCTGGCGATTTCGCCTTCCTTCAGAGGCGGCACTTCGCCCGGCGATGCGTGGGAGACTGAAACGACGGGAAATACGCCCTTCATATTCCCATCCTTGGGCACTACGACTGCGTACCCGTCGACAATACTCGCCCGGAAAGCTGGTACGTTTTCCCTTGCTCGTACATCTTCGGCGAGCACGTGGCCGGGTAATGACCTGTCGACTTTAGACGTGATAATTTCTGGCGATGGCGTTTGCTCCTTGATCTTGGCTAGGGCATCATCGACGGAGAGCATTGGAAATGGCGACTCTCTATTCCTCCGGCTTGGACCAAGACTTGGATCGTTAGACATCGGGTTTGAACTAGGTGCCGTGTGTCTAACTAGACTACCATGGCCGTGGCCGTGACTGTGACCGTGGCTATGTCCATGGCTGTGATCGTGGTCGTGTGGGTGGTGATGGTCATGAGTGGGTACGTGGCCTCCACTTCCACCCGACTTTATGCCAGCTTCTGCCTCGAGTTTCTTTACTCCACCGGCATGTAACGTCCTCGAGTCCATACCAGCGGCCTGGAGACAGGCATGTGGGAGTGTCTTCAGTATTGCCTGTAAATTCTCACGGGCTCCTTTCGGTGATCCCGGGAGCGTGACGATTATAGATTTGTTTCTGACGCCCGCAACTGGGCGGGACATCATAGCGAACGGGGTGACGCTTAAAGAAGCCGCCAACATGCCGTGCACAATGCCTGGGGCGGGCTTGTGAAGTAACGCCGAGATAGCTTCCGGCGTGTTGTCGGATACCGCAAAACCGGTGCCCCCCGTCGTCAGGATGAGGTTCATGGTATCCGCCGCAAAGTCTGCCCATAATATGATCTGTTGCTGAATCTGAGTGACGACATCAGGAACGATCTTGGTATCGACGAGCTTCCATTTGCCGCCACCCTCCGTCTCGAGGACATCGTTTAAGACGCCTTCGGAAGCATCCGTAGATGGATCCTTGGCTGCTGTTGTAGAGACGATAAGTAGCGCGACTCTTAAGGCCGCATTAGACATGGTAGCTAAAGTTAGGTGAGACCGAAGAATGTAAGTGCAACTGCGGTGTTGAGGTAAGATCCAGAATTTATATACAAAAATGTTCAACCTTATAGTCAGTACAGCGACATGAGATTCAATGTAGGCGATGTAAGTGAATCTTGGGGTTGAGATTCGGGATGAAGCTTCATTCGTCTAGTCCGAGTGCGGGGCCTGAATGTAAATACAACACCTTTACCTTTACAAGTAGCTTTTCATCTACTAAATACGGCCCAGTCCCGACCAAAGGCTATAAATAGAAGAGGTGAGGCGAAATGGTAAAAGATAACGGATTCTATGACAACTCACGACTATCAAGTACACGTATAAGATACAAGCTCCCGATCTGTGCTATGTCACACGGTATTAGTTTTAAGATCCGAAGGTACGGAGTACACCTGAGCACTGTGTCGTACCTGTTTACAACCAAAACAGGGGTACCCCACAATGTCCCGATAAGATAAAGCTCAAAATTTCCGACGTCAAGTTCAAGGCTCGTCATAGCCTCTAATCCTTCACCTGTAACGAATAACTCCAAACAACAAGGCCAATCCCGTATAGTAAAGAGACAGGTAGCCTTGAGATCCAACAAAATGGTCCGAATCAAAGAGCGCTACCTCTTGGTCAAGATCCTGTACCCCAATGAACTTGGCAGTCGCCCTGGCATCCCTGATGTCGTCGTCCTTAATCAGCCTACGACCGATCAGCTCAACCCCGCAGCTCTCCTTAGAGGTATACGCGCTGAAGTAGCGAGCCTATTCGGAGACTACGGCTCGGGAGCCATCGAAGGGGGAAACTTATCAAGTAAGTTAGCCGAGCGGGACCTATTATGACCCATAAAGCTTACAGTTGCCGTACTAGTTAAATACTTCTCTCCCGCTACCTCGACCTTTATCCTACGAACCTCGCGATCGTCATATCGAATAGTATGGGCCGCCCTCACTTTCATGAATTCAATTCCTGTCAGGAATGGAAAACCATGCATCTTCCGCGTAGTCCATGTTAGCGGTACCATGCGGAAAGCCGAGGAAGAGGCTATTCGTCGAGCTCGGGACCTCATTTTCGCAGCCCAAACTGGGGATAAAGAAGACGTTGGCGATCCTTTGAGCAACATATTCGGCAAATCGGAACGGCCGCAACGAAGAGGTGCAATGGCAGATCCATTAAGCGTTGGAGATGACAATAGCGATATTGAGATGGGAGAAGTAAGCGATGGCTGAGAGGGTATCATGTCTTCTTTCTGACTACCTTAATTCCACTGTCTCCTGTAGGAGGTGGCATACCGTCGAATTCGTCGTCGTCGTCATCGGGGATGAGGTCTGGCGTTGTGGCTCCGGTGTCACCACCCTGCATCATCTTCTGCTGCTCCTCATCTTCCTTCTGCTCTGCGGCATCGTATGCGTCCTTTGCGTCAATCCAGCGCTCCTGTATATCTCCTACCTCCAACATCGAGCCCTCGTTGCGCATAGCCACCTGCCAGATGGTATCGTTGGCCCCCTCCGCGCCACCAAAGACATAACCGCCAGCCCGGTCTATCACCCGCAATATGTGCATCATACTCTTCTTATTTTCGACGGCCAAAACTTCGAAGCGGACAAGGGCAAAGCTCTCGACGAGATTTGCGATCGCCTCATTAAGTCGACGAAACTTTTCACTGCGCATTATCGATGACTCTTCCTCCATGTCGGATAGTAGATATGACAAATCTTGCACCTCGGTATAAAAGTCGAGGTTAAAAGGCAGCGGGTCATACGAAGCAACTTTGTCAATCTTGGTTAGAACGTTGATGTGTGGGAGGTCCATTTGAAGCATGGCGCGAAGGGTTAGTATTAGGTTGGAGAGATATAGGGATGGTTGCGTGAGGCAAAAACTGTCGGAGAGGTGGACGGCCACAAACTATATGTTATCAGCAACTGAATCTCAAGATGCAGGCAGTGTCCACACGTACTCGGTAATCAAGCTTTTGTAGCTTGAAGAATATGTTTCTCAGCGAGTTGTGGTGTGTGTAGAGCTCAACCTGGCCAGGACAGTCGAAGAGGATATACGAGTCCCCCAGTTCCTTCAGTCCCTTCTCTAGCCATTCCATGTTGTTCTCTAACTCCTCAAATGCATATAGCACACCGCCATTCGGGCCGAGTTGATCATCGTTCATAATCTCTTCCAGGGTAATCAGCTCGCGGATGTCTAGGGCGCAAGGATAGTTGGTCTTGTCGTTGGCAGGGTCGAGGTTCACAACAGAACATTCCCGGCCTATTGCGTTCATGAACTGGTGCACTATAAATGAAATTAGGACTTGAGTAATAGATATAAAGGAGGGCCGTGGGAATATATGAATAACTTACTACCATCGCAATAGGTACTCTTTCCAGCGCCGGGGCTGCCCAGAACAAGCTGGGCGAAAGGCATCTTGAGTATATACAAGAGGAAACGACAGTCTCGCAGGTCCGGAAGTAAGAATATTGGCCACGAGTGGTCTTTGGATTGTAGAAACACAAGCGGCG